ATCATATCTGAACAGGGCATTGCATCTGGAATCAGACGTATAGAAGCTGTGGCTGGTGAAGCTTTCATTGAATACATTAATGCAAGAGATTCCCAGATGAAACTTTTATGCTCCACTCTCAAAGTATGTTTTTGGTTCACTCCTCTTATTGGATGTGTATATTTTTTCCATCTAATCTACATCTTTCCAGATCTCTGTCTGCCTGTGTGTGTATTATCTATGAAGAACCATTCTGCATTTAAAATATTTGTATATGTAAATCTGCAAGTAAATAAATGGACATATTGGGGATGGATTGGTTTGTTAAATATGTGGTTTTGATTCCAAGCTGAAGATAGTTTTTTATGTTTATTTATTGCTGCATTTGAAGGTGAAAGCAGAAGAGGTGACAACGAGGGTGGATAATCTCTTAGAGGAGTTAAGGACGGTAAGAAATGAAGTTTCTGCTTTGCGTGCGAAAGCAGCAGTGTACAAAGCATCAATGATTGCTAGCAAGGCATTCTCAGTGGGAACTTCGAAAACAATCAGGTAAATGGTGCTTCTTGAGTGCATACATGTACATGCTCATAATACTTATTGTGTCTAAACTCTTGCTTCTCAAAATATGCCTAATTTTCATATCACCCACCAAAATGCATGCGCTTTCCACTTGAAGAGTTAAATCGACCTTTTCTTTGTTCATCTTACATAGTTTTTCCAGTAATAGTAGACATTTCCTAGTTTGATAAACAAAAAGGCTTTACTTAAGAAAATGAATCTCAACCATTTAATGGTTTAAACATGCACATGATTTTTGAAGAAACTCCAATCCTGAGGGAGCAGAAGTGGCATCATCTGTATCAATGATTTGAGTGTTAGTTCTGCAGGCTTGTAAAATGTAGTTGTTTCACTGGGCTCTGTCACTTCAATGTGATAGTTGGTTCCTCGTCTTTGAAATTGTTAGCTGTAATGTAATGTAATTGTCAAACATGCTAAACACTTTCACCATGTTTTGGGACAAAAGAATAACTGATTGTTTTGATTATGTTCAGGGTACTAGTTGAGTCCATGGATGATTTTGATGCTGATGCACTCAAGAGCGCAGCTGAATATCTAATGGATACACTGCAGGACCCAGCAGCTATAATTTTGGGCTCCTGTCCAGATGAAGGTAAGGTGAGTTTGGTTGCCGCATTCACTCCAGGAGTAGTTGATATAGGTATCCAGGCAGGGAAATTTATAGGACCTATAGCGAAGTTGTGTGGCGGAGGAGGTGGTGGCAGGCCTAATTTTGCTCAGGCAGGAGGGAGGAAGCCTGAGAACTTGACAAATGCCCTGGAAAAAGCTCGGACAGATCTTATTTTGATTCTAACTGAGAAGGCAAACTGAATAGCTCATATTCTCCTTTGTCCTTGGAAGTTTCCATTGGGAAATTCTTTCTTTTGTATACTCCAGCTCAATTGCTTGGTCACAACTGCTGGGCTAGGCATACTTCCATATATTAACACAAGCAAACAACAATGAAATGGTTAGTGAAATTGCCGCTTCCTCTCCTCCTCCCTGCGTGTGTAGATATGGTGCATGAAAAACCAAAAAAAAAGATAGGAAAGGGGGAAGAGGAATGTAAAATATTATTCAATCTAGGCAGATGTGGCCTTCTTAGCATAACCAACTTTGACACTTTCAACACCATTTTTTCTCCAGAGCATGGTGAGCTACATGAATTTTTCGGCAGGTTGCTTTTAAATGGAGACTAGAATCTTACAATACTCATTAAACATGGAATGGCAATACAATTATTCTTACACTCCAAGGAAATACTGTTGCCGACACAATTTATGAAGATCCTTTGGAGAAATCAGCCTACAAGAGAGGGCACAGATTTGCTTGAACTAAAGATAACTGTTGTCCCTTGGAACCATAGCCATCACAGTGAAAAGACTGGCTGAACAATGAGTACTCGTTTGCTTTCTTTTTGGAACTGCTTGGTTAAAACTGACAGAACAGCTACTGTCAGGGGATGGAAGATGCCATTAAAGGCTTAATATGAAATTTAGAGATCAATTTTCTCCGAGAAAATAACCACTAGAATGAAAAATTGGCAAAAATATTTTTAAGACATTTTAACTTCAATGAGAAATAGCATTTAAAAAAACTTGGCCAACTGAAATAGTCCCCTACAAAATCAAAGATAGAAGTATTCTAGTCTATCGTTATTTTTAATCTTCACAATTATCTACCCAAAATCCAGATTTCTATGTCTATCATATTCATGGTGTCTATCTACAGCTGGATCCAGTATCCTTAAATTGATGGTGTCTGATTTTAGTGTCGTACGCTAGAAATTTGGGGTGGCTATTTCATCCAAACTGATAGATACTCCTCTAAAACGACATGAATGGGTTAAAAAAAAAATCATGAGCAAAAATTCATGGTTTTATGTTGGGTATGAATACTAGTTTCTTTACTCGATCCCAACCTGAAATAAATACATATAACTTTGAAGTTTGGAAAAAATATATGTATATTAAGCTAGTTATATACTAAATATTTTTAAATCATATTATTTAAGTTTGAACTTGAATTATAAATATTCCATGAACACCTGAAATATGTTGTGATTGTATACATTTCAAGTATAAAAAAATTTATATTTTCAGATACAGGGATAACAGATTTGAATATAAATTATGATCCCACAAAGAATCCTAAATATCTAATCTAGATGGATGCCAAATGTCCCTTAGCTAGCACCACTCTTATCTTCGAACACAAAGGATCTTTGAATTGAGTAGAAAGAAGAGAGATCCAAGGGCAAAAGTCAGAAGAAATGGCAGGCTGTGGATCCATAAAGAACCCCTAGTCTTACATCAAATGTAATGTCCTGGTTACCTGCTTCGATCACGTAAAGGGGGAGAGATCGGTCCTCCTGCTTTCAGTGAAAAAAGCTATCCACCGCAAAGTATGGATATTTCCATGTAAAACGACTCGACATTTGCAAATGCACATAATATATTTCTTATTTAAGGGAAGATTTTTATTTTTATTTTTTGGATGAATTTGGGTATGATTTTCTCTTTTATTTTTATATTTATTTCTTTCTTCCAAGTGAATGTATTAAGTAAGTAAAAGTGATTACTCATTAAATATCGTAGAATTGAGTGTACATTCTCTGTGATTATCATATATGCCATGATCTAGGGATTTCAACTAGGCAAAAATCTTGCGTGACGAGTGGGACTTGCACAAGCACAGATTGTTCTTATCTTCCCACTCTTTATTCAGCAATGATCGCCTTCGCCAAGCTTTTATCCTCCAAAATTATTTTTTCTTCTGTTTTTGGGACCGTACACGTAAGCACCTTTAGTGAGCCTCACAAAATGGCAAAAATTATTGTAAAAATTAACATCAAATTAATCATCCATTAATCAATCTCTTATTATCTTTGATGGTGCATTATTAATGTTATAGAAAGATTTCACTATCACTAGACTCGTATAATTGATACGTCTCAATCATACTAAGGGATGCTGTTTTCCACCAGTGCACATCCCTGTGCAAAAAGATGCTACACACACGTACACAACAACAATTTTTTAAAGATTATACATCCCTGTGCAAAAAGATGCTACACACACACACACGTACACAACAACAATTTTTTAGAGATTATATTATTAAAATTATTATTTTTACTTTTAATATCAATATATCAAAACTAATGAAAAAATCTAGAAAAATCAAATTAATTTAAACAAAAAATATTTTAAAAAACACTTTAAAAAACAGGTTAAATCGCATTATCAAACACACATATGAATTATAAAAAAAATCATTTTTCAAAAGCTTTTTTTATATTTGAGTTCAATATAAAAACTTATAAAAAAATATTAGTGCAATTATTACAACCCAAATTCTGAGTTTATAATTAAAAACATATAAGCAATGTTATATGGACACTCCACTTGAGTTAAGCATCAAAAAATAAAACAAATTATATAACATTACATAACATTTTATAAACTTTTAAAATATTCATCAAAACCAATAAAAATTAAATAATACTTATTACAATATAAAATCTAAATTTTAAATAAAAAATATAAAAATAAAGTTTCTAAAACATCAAAACAAGACTAAATGGAAAACCTTGCAAAAACAAACAAGACATGCTAACAAAAAAAAAACAAAAATTCTTAATAAAAGTAACCTATTAATAATAGTTAAGAATCTAAATAATATTTAATATACTTTTTAGATATTATAAATTATAAATCATATATATATATATATACACATATATACACGCTAAGTATAATGCATGTGAGTATGTAGTGGGATAATTAATCATGCGAGTGATTGTTTTTTATATTTTTTATATTTAAAATTCAAAAATTTAAGTTTAGATAGAGCTGAATTACTTGGTATTTTTCTAGAGAAAAATCAAAGTAAATGAAGGAAAAGACAAGAAGAGGAAACAATTTTTTTTTTTTACAAAAATTCTCTTTAAATACATATATTAATTTGTGTTTTCAGTTGATGCTAGACTTGGGTTTGGATCGGATACACCAAAACGTAAGTATTAATTGTTTTTATATTTTTATTGAAGTTTTACAAACATGGCACCAGAATCAAGATAGGTCAAGTGTCAATTTGTGGGGGGCAATATATAACAATTTTAGTGAGTTCAGGCAACCTCTCTGTCAAATTATCGAAAGTGTGATCATGTAAGGAACGGAAACAAGGAAGAAACTTCTCCTAGGAGTGCAAAAAATAGTCTGACTTCACTAACAAAATCCCACCATCCTCTTACATATAATTATATCTCCTAGTTCTCACTCCACAGCTGTCAGCGCTTAGACAATTTAGTCGGTGCTTGACCCCATCATTTCTCTTGCCGCGTTTTGTGTCTCTTTTTTTTATAGTTTATCAAGATTTTACTTCGTAATGCTGACCTGTTGTCCACTCTACAGTCTTATTCACGACCCTATAAATGCCTCACTTCTCACTTCTTTTCTCTTATCTCAACCCTCCTTTTCTTCACTAGATTGCGTCAACTACAATGCTTGATTTCTCTTCTACCTTTTGTGACATCTCGAAGAACAGGATGGCTGTCTTTCTTTGCTTTCTTTTCTTGATTATCTCCTCTGCTACTGGTTGTGATCGATGTGTTCACCAATCCAAGGTTGCATATTTCTCCAAAGCCTCGGCCCTTTCAAGTAAGAATCACTTTTCCTTTTCTTTTAATTTCATTATTCCTGTATTTTGAATGGGATTTTTAAGGGTGAGAATTCCTGGTTTTGTGCAGCTGGGGCTTGTGGATATGGTTCCATGGCTATAGGATTTAATAGTGGACACCTTGCGGCTGCTGTTTCTTCTCTTTACAAAGATGGAGCTGGATGTGGTGCTTGTTTTCAGGTTAGTTCACCACACCACTTGTCTGCTTTCCCTTCTGTGGAATTTTTAGATGATTGATCATATCACTTACTGGCTTTGGCTTTGGCAGATAAGATGCAAAAACACAGCTTTATGTAGTAGCAGAGGAACTAGAGTGATTGTGACTGATCTTAATAACAATAACCAAACAGACTTTGTTCTTAGTAGCAGAGCTTTCATGGCCATGGCCAAAAAGGGCATGGGTCAAGACATCTTGAAACACGGGATTTTGGACGTGGAATATAAAAGGTGAGAGCATATATTATAAGATTTATTTGTCTCTATTATCATAATATATAATAGAATCTCTTTGGTTAAAATAATGATCATATGAATTAAATACCTGATCAACATGATGATTTTTTTTAGTTGCTTCTGCAGATAATGGTTTGGTTATACCGGCCACAAAAGGAATACATGTAACATGGACATACTTTATATAATTTTATACATTATATAGCTAGGAACAAAAAACGAGAACATTAAATGCTGGTAACGGTCAAAATGTTAAACCGTTGTCCATAAAATCGGAGGTAACATGACTATATAATTGAGTGGATTCACACGATATTCTACAGCTAGTATTCTGTGTTATTAAACTGAACTTGATGATATGGTGAGATACGAGACTTAGCTTAGGTTTTAAATAAACTAGTTTAGAATTGATTTGATATACTAGTTGAAAACTGGTTTAACTTTTTAAAAAAAGTTCAGAACAATGTTGACTAACTTTTAAAAAGAAGCATAAAAAGGTATTTTATATTTTATTAGTCTTTTTTCTAAATTTGCATCTCCTTTGTCTCATCGATCAGGGTACCTTGTGAATACAAGAATCAGAATTTGGCTGTTCGAGTAGAAGAATCAAGCAAAAAACCAAATTACTTGGCCATTAAACTACTATATCAAGGTGGCCAGACAGAGGTAGTAGCCATGGACGTTGCTAAGGTCAGAGCTTTAACTTACTGTGTGGAGTAAATTATACTTTTCAATATAATGCTTAAAGCATGCTAACTTGTTGTTGGTTTTGCTAAATTTCCTTAGGTTGGTTCTTCGAATTGGGGTTTCATGAGCAGGAATCATGGAGCAGTATGGGACACCGACAGGGTTCCGGCAGGAGCTCTTCAATTCAGATTTGTGGTAACAGCTGGATATGATGGAAAGTGGATTTGGGCTCAGAAAGTCCTGCCTGAAGATTGGAAGCCTGGGATGACATATGATTCAGGAGTCCAAATCACCGATATTGCACAAGAGGGTTGCTCTCCATGTGATGATGGGATATGGAAATGAGGGGTCTTGCCACTACTAATGTTAATAATATTCATCTATACACACACAGTTTGATCTGATGTCATTCTTCACAACAGAATTCGATAATGTAGAGGAATTTTATGAAGTTAGCATATCTTTTTATAGTAGCAGCAATTCAGTTTCAATGTTCCTCCTCCTCCTTTTTGTACTTTGCGAGTAGGGCATTTGTCCACCTTACACATCTTTAATGGTGTTTAACGTATTTGTTTTTTTTCCTTCCTCCAATAAATTAATGTCCATTCTCTCTCTCTAATTTGGTAACTGGATGGTGCTTCTTTCTATGTGAATTTTTTTTATGCATAGTTATTTTTAAATTCATTCAAACTAGTTAAAAGAGTTATATCCCGAGAGATATGTAACTTAATCTAGGTCAATTTAAAAAATAAAAAATATATTTGAAATTTTAATATTTTACTTTAAATATATGCTATATACATAATTATCTCACCTAAAAAAATATCCATGTAATTTAAATAAAAAATATTATAAAAAATATTTATATTTATAAGAATATAAAAATTATGTGAGATTAAGTATTTACAAATTAATATTATATTTTTTAAGATTCCTTAAAAAAATAAAAATAAAAAGTTGAGTCTCACTCGTATGTTGAACCTCTCGAATTATAGATTAATCTAATAGGTTAAGTATTTACAAATTAATATTATATTTTTTGAGGTTCCTTAAAAAATTAAAAATAAAAAGTTGAATCTCACTTGAGTTATGTTGAATCTCTCGGATTATAGATTAATCTAATAGGTCAATTGAGATTAATCTAATAGGTTAACTAAGATTGATCGAACTTATTATAAATTTAAATTTAGGTTTTAATTATTTAAAACTTGATCAAAATATCATATTAATCTGATAAAATAGATCAAGTTTAATATATATTTGTTCAATAACTAAATCATAAAAGAGAGCTTACTAAATTATGATTTTCAGTCAATTATATATTTATATATAGATTGAGAAAAATATATGATAGGTATTTAAATTAGATATGCCATCTTCTCTTAGTTGATTTCTCACCATTTAATTTAATTATTGTGAATTAAGCTAGTAGCTTGATAGAAATCTAGGCAGATAGAAATTTATTATAAAAACCATGTTTACATGAATTAAAATTATATAATTGGTTGTATGGATGTTGAATGGGCCCATTTCACGTGGTGGATTCATAGTTATTGATTGAATTTCTAATTGAATTAGATAATATATTAAATCGACCAAAACTAATATGAATTGGACGGATTTTTAGTAACCCGATTACCTTGTACAAACTTAATCTAAACCTATCCAGTTCGATCAGTCTCCAAGTGAGGCTGGCAACTACGTTTGGATCTTTAATGGAAAGGCAGCCGAGAAACATGGGATCTTAACCTAGGTTTTCTGGGTACTGAATATCCTCATTTTGGGCTAGTTCTTCACTGCCAGTCTGCCATAATCTGATAGAAGCTGAAAGAAAAGAAAAGAAAAGGACATCCAATTGGAGGCTGATAGCATCGGTATATCCATCAGTTAATTAACAGGATCCAAAGACTTTGGATCATTTGGATCAACACTTAATTACGAAGTTACAGAAAATCCCACCACTAGATATACCATTTGGGATTAATTTTTCACTCTTACAACATCATGGCGAGAGTGATCTCCCTCTACAAAATGTTATAGTAGCAAGAATTATATACACTCAGCCATTCTTTTGCACCATTTCTATCTTAGAAGCCCATTTTATCAGAAAAAATAATAATCCCAAAAGCCCATCATTCCCATTTCATGGGTTTATAGTTAAGAATGGAGGCCTAACTTATAAAATATAGCATCAATTGAAAGTAGGCCTGATTGTTTATGGGCTTAAAAAAATAAATTCAACGTGATATTACAAGGTTATAACAACAAACGAACCGTAGAGGCTCAAATTATCTGATCTCTAAGACACTCTTAAAATTTAATCATTCCAGTTTTTTTTTTTTAACCATGAATGTCTAGATTATCTTATATACATCTCAATTAATTTTTTAATATTTTAAAATTAATAATCATATAAATTCTTAATAATTTTAAGATTTATGACACTCAAATTAGTAATATATAAAAAAAAAATCTTATAACTGCACTAAAAGTGTTAACTCAATTTTTTTTTTAACCATGAATGTCTAGATTATCTTATATACATCTCAATTAATTTTTTAATATTTTAAAATTAATGATCACATAAATTCTTAATAATTTTAAAATTTATGACACTCAAATTAGTAATATAAAAAAAAAATCTTATAACTACACTAAAAGTGTTAACTCAGTGATGAAAGAGACTTGTTTCTTTCCTCTGCACTGAAGTTCAAATCTTGTTGTGCATACTTGTTATTTATGTGGTGTCTTACATGTTTACTGGACTTGCAGGATATTCAATGAATTTTAGGATTAGTTGTGGTATTTGCAAACTAACTAAGACATCCACGTAAGTAAATAAATAAATAAAACTTTATAACAAGGTCATTGTGCAGCTTCAGCATGTCGCCAGGATGATTTTCAAGTTGGCCCAGCATCAAAAAGCTAATCTTGCTAGAGAAGGGAAACATTTTTGTCTATAATGTTGATTTGATGGAGATGGTTTAGGGCGTTTGAGCTACACAATGATCGTATCTTTTCTATTTGTATTATAGCTTACGAAATTATATGAATTTGCGTCCAGGAGAGAAAATGCGAGATTTCTAGTTGTTAGGTTGTGTCTTTGTAATTATTGATTTTATAAAGAGACAGATGTTCGATAATAATCAATTTGCAAAGTTTAGTGGACACGATGGATACGTGTAACTTGATAACAAGTGGACTTTGAGCAGTTCAAAAGGCTTGAGATTAGGTATTAATCCACTACGTGTGTTGTTAGCTAACTTTAAGCCAAAGTGGGGATGCAGACCGGCAGATGTCCCATCGTTAATCAATTCAAGTTGACTGCTTTGACCGAGTCAACGAGATACTACCCTCTAAATTATTGTTATTACAATTAATTAATAGTTGCTGTTGTATTATATAATATTTTTACAGTCAAGTTGTGTTTTCAACCGAGTTTATTGTTTTAAAGTAATTTTTTTAGAAATATAATAAAAAAATATTTTTAATAATAGGGTATCAATATATATATATATATATATATATATATATATATAAAGCAAAAGGGCCTCGCCAAACCAACTAGAAAAGTTATTTTCAGTACAATTTTTAATTTTATAGTTTTATTGCACTATTCTTACTATTTTGATAAATTCATACAAGAATTTTCTACCTGGAACCTTTGAATATTATTCTAAACTTTATCTTCGATTTCTATTCTGGTAATGAAATTAGTAATTGGAAAGCATCTTATGTGAAACATCGTGAAGAATCTCTTGAAAAACATTCATTGGTTTATTTTTTTTATTGGTCTCGTGGATAGTTTTTATTTTTATTATTATTCTTGAAACTATGATAATGTAGTTCAAATATACTAATGTTTTTTTTTGTGTGTTTAAAAAATTAAATTTTTATTTGTTTGTTTTCTTGCTTTAAATTATTTTTTAATATATTTTTATATTATTTTGATATGTTAATATTAAAAATATTTTTTAAAAAAATAAAAAATATTTTAAAAAATAACAATAACTGTACTCCTAAATATTCTATAAATTAAAATGAAATAAATACTCTATAAATTAAAATTTTCATGACATCCTGATAACCATAATTGAAGACCAAGACGCGAAGAATTTAGTTAGATAACCATAAAGCTGGTCTCTTTTTTAAATCCATGTTAAAGTTGCGCACCCATCCCTCTCACCTTCACTTTCACAAGTAATGGCGAGGTGTAGATTCGAGGCAAGAGGGAAACGGAAAGTTAATCATCCCTTTAGAACATTACATGAAAAATGAGAACTAGCCTTCCAAAGAAAAGTACACACCACAAAAGGCTAAATTCGTTCGAATAGTATGCAACTATGGCCTACGGGAATAATAATGTTCGGTATGAGTGTTAGGAAGACATCCTTCTCCCTTTGCAGTAACTTGTAGCCATCTGTGGATTAACATGCTGGGGGTCCGAAAAGCACACCAGTCAACTTGATTTTTAAACGAATCTGTGGATTAACATGCTGGCAGTCCGAAAAGCACACCAGTCAACTGGATTTTTAAACGAATCCCGGCTAAAAAGAATCATCAATTTGTTTTGTTCTGAATCAACAGAGAAATATTGCTCGAACTTTCAAGATTCTATCCCACTGCTCTTTCTCTTCATTGTCAAAAACCAAGGCACAGTTATTCGACTTAAAGTGAATTTGAATTTATTATCAAACACTTTGCATGTCCCATAGTATCTACCACAAAACGCACATCAATATGATGAATCTTTTATCACAGAATAATAATTGAGTTTTGGTGTCTGAGAAAAAAAAAGAATTCGGATGTTCTTCATAAGAAATCAATTCATGGATTTATTTTGTTGATCGGCCCCGAGTGTTATAACAAGGAAAAATTCTTACAAGATACCTGCAGCAATTATACTATAATTACACAAGGACATTCGAGGAACGAATACAGTCTCTTGCTGCAAGCAGGGAAGAATGAACACTTCGACGAGGCACGGCAATCCAAAAAAATGATTCGGCAGAAGCAAGTCAAATCAAAAGATGGTCACTAATCACGGTCATGATTCTACGTATGAGACTCAAGCTCGAGACCCTATATGGATAAAGTGCCTAATGATTCAACCTTTTCATGTCCTTGACAACCAACCCCTCCCTGCCTGTTTCATTACATATAATTGAAAAATCTGACGGCTAAAAATAATTAAAATATTAGGATTACTGTAGCCCGTCCAATCCTAGCCACCCTCGAGGTGATTGGATTTGTATTACACTCTCTTACTGTTGTTTTTTTTAAGTATAATGTATTAAAATAATATTTTTATGTTTTTATATTAATATATCAAAAAAATCTAAAAACATTTTTAAAAATTAATTTTAAGTAAATAAAAAATTTATACGTTTTTTTTCAAAAAAAAGAGTGTCCACACGTCTTGCCACCGTTCCTGCAATGGCCATGGCTGTGGCACAGGAATGCGTGCAGGAAAAGGTGGACAATTACCCAAAGGCATGTTTTTCTGACATTTGAATTAACAGGACAAAAGAAAAGTTGGAGTAGAGCAGTGATTTTTAAAATTACTCTACTTCAGTGCACTCAAAGTTGCTGAGAAAATGTTTTTTCATTCTTT